CACAGCACACACCACACACTGCACCACTACACCACTACACCACTACCCACTACCCACTACCCACTACCCACTACATGAGAAGGTCCAGAAGATCGAAGTCCAAGATCTTGTTGGCCTTCTCCAGCATGTCCTAACAGAGGTGGGCTTCGCGGATTTCACAAGGCTCATGGATAGCCATATGTCGGGTTATGAACCCCCCAAGTTCGGTTCTCAGGGTGGGTATCCTGTTTATGGCCTTGTGAACTACGCATGAACCTCCAAGTAGAGGTGCTGGTCCGTTTGGGGCTTTAGGTTCTTTCTCCTGAGCAGAAGTGGAACTGATACTACGAATAATGGCACCATCGGAGGGGCCCAGCACTCAGCAGAATCAGCCGAAGATCTGATACTCGACGCCCTGAAAGCTCAAACTGATCTGTGACGACCTGCGTCACCAGCAAGGTCGGCGGCAATAACCCAACCCACAAACCGCACGAACAAACAAAACACACAACAACCCTCATGCCGAATAATGAACCCTAAGCCCTAAACCCTAAACCCTAAACCCTAAACCCAAATAAGGTGTAAAGCTTCAGGCCCCCAGCATGGACATGAACCAGCGCACTAAAATGAACCCAAGTAGGGTTTCAAGCTTCAGGCCCCCCCCACCCTCATGGATATCACGGTGATACAGGGTACGTGAGCCCCAATTTTGGGGTTCATTTTGTCCCTGAGGTCCGGGCCGCATGATCGTAGGGCCGCGCGCGATCCAGGTGTAGGGTTTCGAATATTATGCGCGGGCGAGGGTTTAGGGTTTAGGGTTTCGGGTTTCGGGGGTGTAGGCTCCTTCACCGCGGGCAAGTCCTTCACGCCGGCCATCATCTTTACGTACTGCGATCCCTGCCCTGGGAAGAGCAGGGCAACCTGCGTCGGAGATTAGGGGTTGAGGCATACATAGGGCTATAGGCTATAGGTGGGGTTTATGTAGTTTATACAATAGGGCCACCTCGGCACTTCCGCCGTGTCGGGGGAGTGTGTGTCGGCGATTGAGGTCTATTAGGTTTGTATAGGCTTCCTGCAGTTTTTTGGTAGGTTTTGAAAGGTTTATGTTGGGTTTGTGTGCCGCTCTCACTCTCTCGCTCTCTCTCTCTCTCTCTCTCTGGGGCTGCTTTGGATTCAGGGTGCTGGATTCAATGTTTAGATGGCTTTCCCCCCTTTGAACTCATGGGCCCTCTTCGGGGGTGTCGATTCGGGTGTGCTGGATTTAGGATTTAGGTTTAGGAATTATAGGGCTTAAGGGTTTAGGGTTCAAAGCCAGAGCCACCGGCAGAGAAGAGCTGGTGGAAGACGCCGCGGGTGGCGGAAGTGCTGCCGGCGCCGACGACTGCGCCTGAAAGCGCTGGCGGCTCAAAGGTCTGATGGGCCCAAAAAGCCCCAAGACCCCTGAATTAAGGAGTAATCCCTCCCCTTTAAAAGTTCGAAAACTGTTTTTATAATTAGGGGAGGGTTTTTGTCGAAATGTCGCAATAAGCCCTAAACCCTTAACCCTAGACCTCCAACCCTAATTAAACCCCCTGAGGGTTTTATTCATGTTGAGGGGTTTATTGGAGGCCTGAACCCCCCCCCCTACTTCGGAATAGGGTTTTAAAGGCGGGGTTGGTTTCGGCAGGATTTTCCGGAAAGTGTTTTTTTCTCATCATTAGGGTTTCATTTAATAAAAGGGGGAAGGGATTATGCCTTCAACATATAAAGAGGGATCCTTCATGTGCTTTGAGGAATATTCTCCTTAACTAAGGGGTATTGGGCTTAATCAGGGAGTATACCTTAAATATATATGGGGATCCTTAATATGGTTTGAGGAATATTCCTCCATTAAGGGGTATTGGACTCTCTTTGGGGGGCGTGCTCTCGGGCTTACAGGGTTGCACGTCTATTCGAGTTCAGGCTGGGGGTTTCGTGTGCTAGGACTTGGGGATGGTACACTCGTCTGGTCAAGGAAAAGGAAGGCAGGTCGCAAGCACCCTTAACCCTAAACCCTAAACCCTAAACCCTAAACCCTGAACCCTAAACCCTAAACCCTGAACCCTAAAAGCCCTGAGGTTGGGCACTAAACAGTTCCGCAGGATCACTGACAAAGTCCGCAGGCTTGTGCAAGTCGGGAAAAAGCATGGGTTTAGGGTTTAGGGTTTAGGGTTTAGGGTTTAGGGTTTAGGGTTTAGAGTTCTTTGCTTCCATGACATGAGGGTGTATCCCCCTGGTTCAGGGAATGAGGGAATGAGGCAGCCTAAATACCCGTTGAAAGATTCTATAGGGTACCTCAGTCCCTCACTCCCTACTAAAAACAGTAAGTGTGTAGGCTTTGAGAAGCGGTCTTACTACCTTCGGAACGCTAGGCCCGCATTTTTCAAGTTTCATTGCTAAGGGTTTAGCTAGGTTGCTCAGTAACCTAGGATGAAAAAGGGTGCCCTTTTTTGCTTAAAGGGGTTGATAAGGGAACCTAAACATACCAAAAAGGGAATAGGGGTACTGGGCATCCTAGTTAGGGAGCTTCAGGTCCGGTTTGGTTTTGCTGGGGCTAGGGTCAGATCCGAGACGCCACTGAAAGTCTCGAGGGTTCATCCGCAATATGGTAAGGGCTGAGATTGCCTTATCAAATCCTGTGCAAGATGCGTATTGGCGAGCCTCTCAACCAGAAAGCCCGAACCTCCCCCTAAACCCTAAACCCTAAACCCTAAACCCGAAACCCTAAACCCTATAAATCACGAGCTGGAGACAGCACAGAGCACAGTGCTTCGAAAGCACAGGTGCAGGTGCTGGTCGCGTAGGAATCGGCGGTAGAGGCACCGGCGCCTTCGCTGTGCGTAGGGACTTCCATCTGAGGACTACTACCTTGCCCTTAGTTCTTGGGCTCGTAGGGTTTCAGCGATTCTTTACCTAGAAGTTTGTAGACGACCTAAGAATTCTACAGGCGGCCGTATAATCAACCTCCGAAAATGCAGGTTGGAACTCTTGTTGAGGTATAAACTAGCCTCTGGAGGAGCCGGTCAGGATCTCAGGGAGTGGTGCTTAGGTTCAAGGAGCTTCTGAAATCATCTGGGTCTTGCTGGGTCGCTTCCGGATTCATGGTTTAACTGGTTGGGGCTTCATAGGTCCTGCGAAGTTATGGCTGGGGAGAGTGGTGGGTCTTCAAGCGCACGATATGAACATGGACCGCCCAGCATTCTTGCATGGACAGCAGCAAATTTCGGCTTGAGTGGGGGAGGTTGAGAAAGGTCCTGCGTGCTGAAAGGGTGCTAGATGTTGAGAGTGGTCCTGCACCAAACCCCCTCTCGACCCTATAGTTAAACTCAAATTCGACTCTCAACCCATCGCTTCACAAGGCTGACTCGAAAAATCCTGCTCGTTTTTTTCATCTGAGCCCTAAGCCTCCCGCTCTACTTCTACATCCTGAGCCCACAATTCCTAAGAGCCCAATATTCCCTTCATTAAGGCATATATATATATATGGTACCCCCCCCCCCCCCGCCAGTGACCTACCTACCCTTTTTCGCCTTGTCTCAAGTCACCCAGCTGCACTGCAAGCAAACTCGGTGTGCAATATAGCGTATTTCCTAGGGCGTAGACTAAAATACAACTAAAATCGCATACACGGGACAGTAGAAAAACCAAAAATACCAAAACCAAAAAAACCAAAAAACCAAAACCAAAAAAACCAAAAAAACCAAAACCAAAAAAACCAAAAAAACCAAAACCAAAAAAAACAAAAATACCGAAAACACCAATTTTCCGGGACTCTCAGGAAATCCCTATGAGGCTTCTCCAAGAGTCCCGGAAAATTGTTTTTTTTGGCTTTTTTGGTTTTTTGATTTTGGTTTTTTTGGTTTTTTGGTTTTGGTATTTTTGGTTTTTTGGTTTTGGTATTTTGGCTTTTTGGTTCGCCTTCACAGTCACGAGGCAACAACTACGCATTTTTAAGTGTGCTTATGCTAATTGTGCTTTTCAGAAATAGTATACAAGTGGTCTTTCTAGGGTTGAATATGGTGCTTCTTTCGTATTTTGGTTGAGTATGGTCCTTTAAATGGTATTCACTTGAGTCAAATTGGGCTATTTGCTCAATAATTACTCTAGTAGCTAAATTCGCATAAAATGATTATTTCAAAAATAAAAACGATTCATGAATATGTAAACATAAGGTATTTCAGTGGACTTTTCAGAGAGCATACTTTGCCTAGTACAGACACAATTGTATAAATACAGTATTTGCACTTTAAACGCACACTTTGCCATTTTTTGGTTGAGAATGGTGTTTATTTCGTATCTTGGTTGAGTATGCTCCTTTAAATAGTATTCACTTGAGTCAAATTGGGCTCTTTGCTGAATAATTACTCTAGTAGCTAAATTCGCATAGAACCAAGAAAAATGTTTCACTATTTGATTAATACTTTGCCTCGTACAAACACAATTGTATAAATAAATTAGTTGCTCAACAAAACATTAATTGCCCTTGAAAGGCACAATTTGCATAGAAAAACACTGATCTAAACATCTAAAAACAGCATTGTCCGCTTCAGATTCAAAATGTAGATTCTTCCAATGCTGGCTTATCGGGGTCTGTGAGGTGGGTGTCCCAGTAACTGTCCTTCATTACCCGGTGATTAACTACGCGACTTTTGGGCCTTCTTTGTTATGTTTTGTTAAAAGGCCTAAAAAGACCTAAAAAGGGTAGGTCGCTGGGGGGGGGGGGGTAGCATATATATATATATACCTTAAGTTTATATAGGGGTTCTTAATCTGGCTAAGGTATTTTCCTCAATTCAGGGGCACCGGGCTCTTTAGGATCCCTCAACCTTATGCTCATCCCTTCTAGACCCCCTAGCCTAACCCCTGTTCTTGGTCTTTTCCCTTGTGGCCTTCTAGTTAATGGTAGCTACTACTAAACTGTAGGTAACGCTTTATAGAGTCCCGGGTAAGCCTTATGATGATCCATTCTAGACCCTATAGCCTAAACCCTGTGTTTGGTCTTTTTACCTTGTGGCCTTCTTGTCCCTCTCAACCTTATGCTCATCCCCATTCTAGACCCCAGCCTAAACCCTGTTTGGTCTTTTCGCTTGTGGCCTTCTTGTCCCTTTTGGAGGCATCCACGTCCACCCACTGCCGGGCCTGCGCAGTTGGGACATGGGGGGGGTTGGGGGGTGGAGGCGTCGGGGTTCAGGGTCCCGGGCTGCCTTGCCCCAAACTACTTCATGGTTGGGATAATATTGATTAAAAATGTAGTTTTTTGTTATTCCTTATTGGGTTTAAGTACTCCTAGAAATTTAAAATGTTACCCAACTATGACAAAGTAAAGGTGGAGAGGACTTGGAGAGGACCTCAAGCCGAACAAACCCTTTTTTCAAGGAGGCTCTCCCAAGCCGACAACCTGAATCGCCCTAAACCCAAGCTGGTTGCCCAGTAACCTAGGATTAAAAAGGGCGCCCTTTTTTGCTTAAAGGGGTTTATAGGGGAACCTAGAGCCCCCCAAAAAGGGAATAAGGGCACTACTGGGCATCCTAGAGTAGTAGTGTAGACTCAGTGCCGACTAGACTTTTGCGACTGTGCGACTGTGCGATTACAGCAGGGCATCGACTCGCCAGCTCTCACACGGCAGGCAAGTATTCGAAGGGATTGGATGCCGTACGGTGCTTTAGGGATAGGGTTGGTAGCATTGAGGTCTGTCGCTTTCTGTGAATTCCGGAATGGGGGTTCGTGACTCTTTTCTGAGGTGCTTTGCAGTTTTGATCCTGAAAGCTGCCAATGCCAGCTTGAGACTGCGCCGTGCGCCACGACAGAAACTCATACGACGGGTGATAGGGCAGTGCCGCTTAAACAGCCGCACGCTTTTGTTCCGGGAGCACTTCACGTGCTCATAACATGACAGACAACTCGAGGCCTGCAGCCACCCCAAAAAGGGCTTATAGGGTTTAGTGTTTAGGGTGGGTCACACCCGTATCACAAAACCCTAGGCCCCGACCTTGGGATCGTAGATGTCGACCGGCACGTGGGTGATGGTCCCTGACGCCATGTGCACGTAGAAGTGCTTGCCTCAACGCAAGCCCGGACTTGAGGCTCGGTGAACACCTTTTAAGGGTTGATGGTCCAGAGGTGCTACAGTAGGGTTTGTAGTGTATATTGATGCTGCTTTAATGTTTAGGGCTTAGGGTCGAACTTCATCTATAGGGTTGAATTTCATCCACAGTTGGTCGATCGACACTTATCCTTGGATAGAAACTTGTTTGCCTCTCTCTATATCCACATGCGAGGAGCTGCACATGCATAAATCCAAGACCACAGCCCACTCAGGATTCCAGTTTTGGGGTTATCGGGGTTTTGAGCTTACGGCTTAGGATTTGCAAGTATAGGCTTCGGGCCGCAGCAATCTGAAGCTAAGTTGCTTAAACCTCTAAACCCTAAACCCGAAACCCTAAACCCTATAACGGTTGCTATTGATACTCCTACCTGGTAAGAGAACCCTCTGAGCATGTACATTGGGTTCTCACGCCCCGGACCCAACCCAGAGCTGCCGGGAGAGGTTCCCAGACCGTCCACACACAGAGCAAATGTAGGGTGAAGGGTTTAGGGTTTAGGGTTTAGAGTTTAGGGTTTAGGGTTTAGGGCTTAGGGCTTAGGGCTTAGGGTTTAGGGTTTAGGGTTTAGGGTTTAGGGCAAAAATCTTCAGAGCTCGCCCTCGTGTTGTGCGAACATGGCATTGCTGTGTCCTCCCTTAAAGGCCAAATCAACATGAGACAGCGCCCGCACACACCTGCCTCTCTCTTAGATTCTTGCGTTCACACGGACAGACCCCTACAATCGCTACGCACCCCAAAACCCTAAAGCCCTCAAGCCCTAAACAACTAGAACCCCAAACCCTTAAACCCTAAAGCACAGGGGCCTGGCCTGGCTTTTTACTCTCCACCTTGCGCCAGCCGGGTGGAACGTACGATGGCACCTCCCAGACCGTCTTAGGCCTTCCCTTGGGACTGCATACAATATGAGTAGCACGGGCTTAGGGTTTAGGGTTAGGGGCTGACTTTCAGGGAGTGTCCCCCGCGTTCAGGCTTCAGGACTTTCGGAGTTCAAGGGCTGAAGATGAAGGAGTTGAGGGTTCAGGGTTTGGGGCTTCTGGTTTAGGGTTGGTGTGTAGGGTTTTAGGGCCTCAATGAGATCGTGCACCACCCTCACCCTTTCTACCCTAGAAGGCATTATAATTACTAGGGCCAAAATTGGGCTTAGGGTTCAGGGTCTAAGGTGCAGGTAGGCCCTTTCCTGGGGACCAGGGCCTCGCGTACCCTAAGCCAACAGCGTCCCAACCTCCTGCTGCAATCGGACGCTCGTCTCCAACAACAAAAAAAACACAGCCACAAAAGAAAACTGGCCCTAAAGAGTCCGACGCCCTCGCTAGACAAAACAAGCCCACCCACTCCCACCCCCCGCCCCCCCAAGAGGAACTAACTCCTGCGGCCCCTCTTTCCTGCCCTGACACGCAGAGTGCCCTTATTGTGGCAGCTTGCGTTAAGTTCTGAGCAGAGCCCAGAAAACTGTAGACAAAAATCTGCATAGGGTTGCCTGCTTGAGCTCTATAGCTAGGTTGCCCAGTAATCCCAGTAACCTGGGAGTAAAAAGGGGCGCGCTTCTTTTGAGTAAAGGGGTTTATAACGGATCACCCCCCCCCCCCCCCCCCCCCCAAGAAAAAATAATAAAACAAATGAGAGAAACAGAAAACACAAACAGGAACAAGGGCACGACTTGGCATCCTGGAGAATTCCTTTAACCGCAACCCAGTGAGGTGTAGCTCTCTCGGCCTCCCCTCCATGGCGAACGTAGGGGGCGTTCGACTCCTGAGGTTTAGGATTTCCACATTGAAGCTTGGGACTTGGACGGGCAAATATGCCACTGGCTGGGGAAGCCCTGCATCATCGAACTCATGGAGAGAGAAAGAGAGAGGCAGAGAGAGAGAGAGAGAGAGAGAGAGAGAGAGAAAGAGAGGGAGAGAGAGAGAGCGAAAGAGAGGGAGAGAGAGAGAGAGTGTGGGAGGGAGAGGGAGAGGGAGAGAGAGCGAGAGATGAAAAAAAAAACAAAACAAGCAGGTAGAGAAAAGAGTGCCCATATGAGCAGCCCCTGACTCTACTGTTTTTGTAGAAAACTGGCTTTTAGGGGTTTGACCCTTGGGTAAAGGGTTCGCCAGACTCATTCTTCCAGAGAATAAGTTTGTCAGCAAAGATGTCCGGGTCTGGCTGAAGAAAAGGAAGGGACGAAGGGCAGCACTGAAGATCCTAGCAGTTACGCGAAGTCCTGGAACTGAAGCTGCGTCATGCCATCGTAGCCATCGAAGGGGATGCCTTGGGCCGTGACATGTGGGAAAGCCACGCTGCTGCTGAATCATGTCGAAATACTCCAAAGAGTGAGTGACCTACGGAAGTTTCCAACAATCTTCGGATCTCCCATCTATAATTCAAGATACAGTAGAATCCTTTACACGAAACGCCAGAAGGACCCCTTAGGAAACCCCCCCCCCCCCAGCTCGGCTTCTCCACAAAAAAACTGAAGCCACCCCAAACCCTAAACCCTAAACCCTAAACCCCAAACCCTAAACCCTAAACCCACACCCCCCCTAATAAAAAAACATGAAGCCATGGGGCTACACCAGGAGGGCTCATATCCGAGGCCTTGGAGATTGATGCCGGCGCGCGAGTGCACGGTCACGGGTTTCGGTCCTCCCACCATGGCTGTTGGGCACCCTGCGCCCAAGGTTTGAGTGGCATACAGCTGCGGCGCATGAGTCTAGGGTTTAGGGTTTAGGGATGGTTTAGGGTTTAGGGTCCGCCGACCCTGGCGGCGTGTTGGATGGGAAAAGGAGGTGAAAACCTCCCTCTTTCCCTCCTTACCCCCCCAAAACGCGGGGGGGAGGGGGGGGGGGGGGGTGGGGGGTCGGTGCACAATTTTTTCACAGAGGACCACCCGCACAGCACAAACCCCCTCAGCAAAATCATCGCCTCATCGCCCCCCACCCCCCCCCCCACCCCCCCCCCCCCCCCCCCGCCCTGCCCACCCCCCCCCACCCCCCCCCCCCCCACCCCACCCCCCCCCCCACCCCACCCCCCCCCCCCACCCCCACCCACCCCCACCCAGCTTGAGCTTGTCCTGGCGCTACCCCCTACCCCCCCCCCAAACGATTCACAGAACTCTGCTGGGGATGATCTTCCATGCGAGCGGGTCTCAACTATGCTCCAGCGGGGTCGGCGGCTTGAGCCGGAGGCTCTTAAATTTAGGGTTTCGGGTTTAGGGTTCAGGTCTAAGCTCTCATACCTTAAGCGCCTCGTGTGCGCAAGGCTGAATTCGGGATGGACTGCGGTGAAACGCTTCGAGACTCCAATGTTTGGAGCTTGGCGCTTTAGGCTTTTGCGCTCAGGCTTAAACGAGGGTCTAGGGTTTGAAGGCTTTAAGGGTTACTGTTCTGGTTAAGGGTCTCCATCCGGAAGCAATTCGTGGGTTGGGGACTGGGACTGACCACCCTTTTGAACCCAGACTAGATTGCCCGCTGACCACCCTGCACCCTAAACCCTTAAAGCCGAAACAAAGCCTAAATAAAGCCTACGTAAAGCGTAAAGCGTAAAGCCTAACCTGTAACCGGAGGCTGTCCGGGTGAACACGCGACACGGAATCTCAGACTCTCATCCTGGGCTTGTGGGGCCTTCACAGGGTTCATACCTGAACCCAATTTATGGGTCTTGGATTCCTATTCCTACTTCTAACATCTGGGGTGCTTAGCCATGGACCTCCAAGTACCAGCCACGGAAACCACGCAACTTACGGTCCCCTTTAAAGGGACCCCACATACCCTTAGATACCCTATACAAAGTAAGGGCCCATACCCCATACATGAGAACCTTGTGTAGGAAGTGAGGGACCGTACTAAGGGCCCATGAAACTGCCCTTAGACCAGCTGCGCCGCCTTTTGGGGTTGGGGCCTAGGGCAGAACCCAGGGCGCCCAACCGCCCAAAGAAACCAAGCCCACCATGATAGAGAGGAGATGTAGCCGCCTGGCGCGCACGGCTGAAGAGCATGGGGGGTTGAGGGTTCGGGCCCTGGGCTTAGGGTCATCAGAAGAGGTCAGGGTTTAGGGTTTAGGGTTGAGGATGGTCGAGGGTCATCAGAAGAGGTTCCGATACATCTCCCTGACTCGCTGCTGCCTCGCCTTCGGGACCACCTGAACCCATGTTGGGATCACACATCCGACGCGGATCCCTCTTAGGGGTTTATTGAGTAGAAAACCGTAGGAAGGCGCAGCAGGTGGCTACATTGGTATGTGTGTAGTTCAGTTCTCTACATTGGGCTCACTGTTGGGGTGCTAGAACGAGGGTGCCAGAGAATATGGAGGACCCAAGACCAACAAGGACCCCAACTTGGAGACTGCCCCATGCTTGAGCCTTGCTAAACGCTGGACCACGCAACAAGCCCCGAAACACTCACTATGCAAAGCCTGACTTCATCCGCCCTTCGGAACCAAATCGTTTGAACCCTTAACCTTTCGCCTCTCAAGCAGAAACCCTATTAAGGTTGGACTCCCCAGGCAATGAAGTTCTGACGCCCCCAAGCCAAGCGTACAAGTGCCTGGCTACATTGGGGACCAAATGAACCTAAAAATGGGGTCCTCTACCCTATACTACGATATTTCTGGGTCCTGTTGATGTATATGAACCCTGAATCCTAAACCCTAAAGCCTTCATGGCTCTAAGCCCCAAACCCTAAACCCTAAACCCTAAACCCTAAACCCTAAACCCTAAACCCTAAACCCTAAACCCTAAACCCTAAACCCTAAACCCGAACCAGGCCGGTCTGCCCAATCGGCGGCCGTCGCCGCGTGCCCGGGGACGCTGTCTGAGGGGCAGGGCAGCTTGGGGAGCTTAGGGGAGTTTTTTTGCGGGTCCTTTCCACAGAAAGGGTTTAGGGTTTAGGGTTTAAAAAGTTTAGGGTTTAGGTTTTAGGTAGTGTCTAGCCAGGCTCAGGGTTTAAGGCTATTAGGGTGTAGGGTTTACTTAAAGAAGTAAACTCCTGCCATAGAGACGAGACCGCACGAGCAGCCCCATGCATTATCGCTATGGAATCCATCTGCTCGCGCCCTCCTGGCTTAGGTATGCAAAGAGAAGGTCCTAAACCCTATACCCTGCGCCTGGTCTGGCTGCATGCCGCCACATGCGTCGCTCAAGCGGTAAGTTGGCGGACTGGATACAAGGGCCAGGGGTGGCTGGGGTTCAGGTCAGGATGACTACAGGGTGTCTTAGGCTCAGACATTTCGGGTGTGAGTGCACGATTTCCTGTAGCTCCCTGCGACGACATAGGTATACTTGATGGGTCTTCTGAGAGTTGAGGGCTGTGGCAACAAGCCCTTGGTCGTATGTCTGGGTCTTACTCATCGCCGCCTCTGTAAGCCAGAAAGCAGTGGCAGCAACCAGCGGACAAGCCCCGTTCGGCTGTGAGTTGGGATTCGTATTGTTCTTCTAGGGTTCCTAAGGGAGGGGGTTTCATGGGTAGGGAACCTTAGGGAAGCTTAGGGAGCCTTTGGGAGTGGGGAGTACACCCCTTCCTGCCTTAAGAACCCTAGGTGCACAAAGCTGGCGTGAAGCAAGATCCATATGGGAACCCTACTGCCTTGGGGACCGAATGAACCCTACAATTGGGGTCATATACCCTATACAACTATCGCCCTTATTGAGGCATATGAACATAAACCCTTTTGGGGCTCAATTGGTCCCCAAGGCTCCTGCCCATTCGACTCATTTCTGTCTACCCGAAGTCCATGGGGGTATTGATCTCTGTTGGGACTTGCCGCTGTACACTGCACACGCCAAAAATCTAAGCGCTGGGTCCAGAAGAGCGCTGGCCCATCTCTGAAAGTGTGAAGTGCGCTCCACAAACTCACAAAACCTGTAGGGCTTCGACCCAAACTGTACAAAGCTGCTGTGGAGATCTCACATCAATCTCGAGGCCTCGGCCTATGACCACGCACCCTCCTCCGCGGCTTCTTCTGTTCTGGGATCTTTTGCTTTCGGATCTTCTTGGGGTGGATGGCATCGTAGGTTTCGGCGAGCTCCTCCGCCTCCTGGTTCTGCTTCTCCTATACTGAACTTGGAACCCTAGCAAAAATTAAAAACATTAGCTGCTATCTTAGGAATTCTGGTACCCAAAAATGGACAAGATTAGAATCTCAGCTGCTTCTTAGGAATTATGGTACCCCAAAAAATGACAAAAGATACCCAAAATCCCTGAGGCTCCCGTGGCCAACTCCACCAGAAGGCCTCCAGGATCTCCGCGTCGTAGGTGGTGACGGCGGAAGGGTTGCAGACATTCCTTGGGCCGGGACCCAATGACCCCCAAAATGGGGGGTCCTCCCATACCTTGCACTACTATAATTCCCGTTAAGGTATAATTATGAACCATAAACCCTTTTGGGGTTTCATGTCGTCCCCAAGGTTCTGCATGACCCAGTCACGGGAGTGATTGAAGTGGGGATGGCTGAAGAAGAACTCGAGCTTCTGCTGCAGGGCGGTGCGATCTTGCTGCTTCAAGTATTGCACGTCCTCCACATCGATGCCCAGCTCAGGAATCTTTACCCGGCGGTACATGGGATCCGTGGTGCTGACGTACAAAGTACCAGCGTAGACCGCCGGCGGAGTCACGTCAGCCGCCTCCTCAAATTCCAGCTCCCTCTCTGCGCCCCTCAACTCACCAAGCTTGTAGAGGAACCTCCGCGTGCCCTCCCAAGGCTCTGCTTGAATCAGAGCAGTGCCGTCTGCACAGAACTGCACGCTCTGGATCTCGAAGTTGAAGCCGCAACATGGACAGCCCGAGTATACCGGGATGCAGAACTCAAAGTCTCCGACCAACACATCCGAAACCAGCGCCAGGAGCTCGTCACTGCCATCAAAACCCAGCTCCTGGAGCGACGCCTCCTCCTTGGGGACCAAATGAACCCCAAAATCGGGGGTCATACACTCCAAAACTACCATATTTCCTAATTAAGGCATATGAATCATGATTCTATTCCGATCAAGGTATATGAACCATAAACTCTTTCAGGGTTCCTTTCGCCCCCAAGGCTCTGGGAGCTCCGCGACCCCCCAAACGAGGCAACGCACCACGCGGCACGGAGGCAACTGGGCGGCTTCCTCGATGAGGAGCTTCAGAGTCGCCACTTTGACGCTGGGCCTAGGCCCAAAAGGCCCAAAAGTAACCTAGGACTTTAAAAAAAAGGGTGCCCCTTTTTGGTTTTCAAGGGGCTTCTAGAAGGGAAGCTGAATATCCCCCCCCGCCCCCCAGAAACAAAAAGAGAGGGGAATAAGGGCCTACTCTCGGTCCTAGGGGCTCGACGACCAGCTCCACGGGAGACGCTGACAGGAGCCTGGCGGTCAGGCGCATACGTCGTGGCATCTGGCAGGCCATGCTCGGTGATGTTGACGGAGAGGTTAAAACCCACCCTGGAGCGAGATCCAACAGCGAGCTGCTTGAGCTCTGAGAAGGCTACTGAGGGCACACACACACACACCCGCTCTATAGACATACATGCATATCTTTATGTATATATATATATATATACATACATATAAATATATATGTATGGATGCATGTATGTATGCATGTATGTATGCTTACGGGTGAATATGAGAGACCTTAAACCACGCAATACGTTTAATAAAGCACTTGTCTAACAAAAACAAGTACACAAACATATACATATACATATCTTTATGTGTATATATACACATACACAGATGTTTTCTATATATATATATATGTACAAATGTCATTAGCATTTTCTACATTTAATCACAGACACACATGTACACACACACACACACCCACGCATGCATGCATACATGCATACATGCATACATGCATACATGCATATAAATATAAATATACATATATATATATATATATATAAAAATGTCTACCCATAAAATGCCCGCTGGGATGGCCATGCCAGATTGTGCAGCAATACACCACATTGTCACCACGTCCACCTTTGAAAACACGCCTGCATTTTCTTGCGCCTGCCAAACCAGTACCTTCGCAAAGGAAGGCCAGAATCTGCTGAGCGAAAGCTGCAGGACAATAGTCTTGAAAGACTTTCAAAGGACATGTCCACCTGCAGCCTGGATTAAGGCAGCAGTTTGTGCCATGAATGCCCAAGCATCAGCGCAAAGCAAGTCTATGCACAAGCAGCTGCAGGGGAGCATCAGTACTGCGGAAACAATAGTGGAGGTGTGTCTTCCCTCAGAAAATCGCTAGAATCTTGTAGGACTGGCCTGCCGTAAGTTTCCCTATCGCACTGCTAACGCAAGACGACACATGACGACACACAAGGCAACAGTCGTGAGAGTACTTCAATGCAAGACATCCTCCTTTCTGGAAGATCCCAGAAGTCAGCAATCCCAGCTTTAGTCAACTGACTTCGTGGGTGCCGGCTCACTGGACGAGCTTGAGCTACAGCTCCCGCCAAGGATTGCCGCAGCTGTGTCCCCAAGAGCAGTCTCAACGCCGTCGAAGATGTTGGACCTGAGAACTATCCTCCCTTAACTTGTCGGGACCGGCTAGGGAGGATCCTGAATCCCCTAATCCCTAAACCCTAAACCCTAAATCCTAAACCCTAAACCCTAAACCCTAAACCCAAACCCTAAACCCTCAACCTAAACCCAATTGGGGTAGGGAGCCCCGACCCCAGCCCCGCCTAAACCACGCAGCCTCTCCCTTAAAACGGACGTTTGCCAAGCTGGAAGGTTTTAGGGTTTAGGGTTTAGGGTTTAGGGTGCAAATCCTGAAGCCGAAGGCTCTCCATGGGCTAGCTGAGGGCTTTGCGGTTTGGGGCTTTGGGTTTAAGTATTGAGCCTCCTGAACCCTTATAACCCTCGAGCTTTGCGCACAAGAGCAAACCCCGGACCCCAAACCCTACACCCTGAACAAAAACCCTGAATCCTAAACCCTCAATCCTTCCCCCTTATAGCTCCTAAAACCTTATCCCCTTAACTCCAAACGAAACCCTCCCACAAATCCCTGAAGCTCCTAGCCCTTTTAACCCTAAACCCCTTAAACGCAGAAAACCCTAAACCCGAACCCCCTTACCCTAAACCCTATAAACCCTGAACCTTAAATCCTAAACCCTAAACCCTAAACCCTAAACCCCAACCCCCTTTCACTCCTAAACCCTAGAAACCCTAAACCCTAAATCCCTAAACCCTCCTAGTGCCTGGAGAGCTGCAGATGCTGTGCCGCCGTCTCCACGCCGACGGCGGCCGCACTCATACCGCCTGCCAAGGTGCCGTCGATGGCCTTGAAAGCGCTGTGTAGGGTTTAGGGTTTAGGGTTTAGGGTTTAGGATTTAGGGTTTAGGGTTTAGGGTTTGGGGTTTAGGGTTTGGGGTTTGGGGTTTGGGGTTTGGGGTTTGGGGCTTGGGGCTTTGGGGGTTTAGGGTTTGGGGTTCGGGGTTTCTGCTTTGGGGTTTGGGGCTTTAGGGGTTTAGGGTTGAGGGCTCAGGGCAGGGTTCCCTACAACTCCGAATGCTGACCCCTCTTACAGGCCTCAATTGAGGGGTATCGGGCTCTCTTTGTTCCTCTCCGTTGCCGCGGAGGAAGACGCACTTATCAAGGGTCGGGGTGTAGCCCAGGAAAAAGATGGAAAAGGGCTCCAACATTGCCGTCTGCGAAAAAGACTGCGCTATGCCTCCCTCCCCCCCCCCAACAAGCTGTTCCCATCCAAGCCCTCAACCTTAAACTCTTCTTGAAGAAGCCTTGCCCTGAACCCTGAACCCTACTAAACCTTCAATTCCCCCCTTCTAAACCCTAAACCCTAAACCCTAAACCCTAAACCCTAAACCCTAAACCCTAAACCCTAAACCCTAAACCCTAAACCCTAAACCCTAAACCCTAACCCCTAAACCCTAACCCCTAACCCCCCCTAAACCCCCCCCCCCCCCTTCCGAAAAGCCCTCTGGGAGCCTCCAAAGTGCCAGACACTTGTTCCGCCGCGGACTCCAAGAGCCCCGTATTCTCCTCCTACGAAGGGATACTGGGGTTTAGGGTTTAGGGTTTAGGGTTTAGGGGTACACTTCTCGATTCGTGCGTGTAATCCTTGCGCAGGGGCGTTCACAGGGCTTAGGGTTTAGTGCTTAGGGGTCCTAAGCCCAAGAAAGCCTGACGCTAGACATAGGGTTTGGCTCAAGGGCTTTGGGGTCGGGGCTTGCAGGTTGGAAGCCTCGAGCTTAGGGAAAGTTTTGGGACTTCAGGTGCTGAACGTTCAGGGCGTAGGCTTGGGGCTTTAGTACTTTAGGGCATGCAGGACCCTCCCTCAACCCTAAATCCTAAACCCTTTCTGCAACTCCGCAAGCCCTAAACCCCAAACCCTAAACCCCAAACCCTAAACCCTAAACCCTCCTCCGCGTTGATGACCAAGCTGCGCCCCTCGAAGGCGTTGCCGAGCTCCTTTGGGGGAAGGGTTTAGGGTTTAGGGTTTAGGGATAGCCCGGGGTTTGACCCTTCCGGGTTTACGCTTTGCTTGGAGGCTCATGGGTAGCGAAGCCCTACCTGTAGTTGCCATACTTGTAACCCTACATATGAGTACCCATGAACCTCCAAGTAGGGATGTACCCAAAAAAGCCCAATGCCCCTGAACTACGGAATTTAACTTAAAACAAGAAGGGGTCCTTCATATGATGTAAGGTATCTTCCTGAATAAAGGGGAATTGGGCTCTTTGGGTACCGTGCATGCGCCGGGGCTGGGGTTGGCGGCTTCAGGGACAGATACACGCATAAAGCACTCACGCGCGGGCACGCGAGCGCAGAGGCTGGCCTGGTCCATGCCTGAGCCCTAAACCATACGAAGCCCTAAACCCTAAACCCGAAACCCTAAACCCAAAACCCTAAACCCAAAACCCTAAACCCCTAAACCCTACTGTAAACCCCCCAACCCTGAACCCTATAAACCCTTAACCCAGAAACCCCAATTCTGCTTCCTGGGAGAGCCTTGGTCCCTTAGGGCTGGCTTTAGGGTTTAGGGTTTAGGGTTTAGGGCTTAGGGTTTGAGGGTTGAGGGTTGAGGGTTTAGGGTTTAGGGTTTAGGGTTTGAGAGCTTGAGGGGCTACGCTTCTTGGACGCTCTAAATCAGCCCGAGCCGAGAAGATGACCCAGGCCCAAGCGTGGACACTTCTAAACCCTAAACCCCTAATCCCTAATGAATCCCTAATACCCTAACACCCTAATACCCTAAACCCTAAACCCTAAACCCCTAATCCCCAATGAATCCCTAATAGCCTAACACCCTAATACCCTAATGAATCCCTAAATACCCTGATACCCTAATACCCTCATACCCTGATCTCCAAACCCTAAACCCTAAACCCTAAGCCCCAAACCCTACACCCTAAACCCTGAACCCGAACACCCTTAGGGCGCAGGTCCTGCTGCAAACCGACAGTGGAAAGGAGGGTGATCATGTCCTCTATCCAAGAGGGCTTCTGGCACCACCACTACTAAAATTTGTTTCCTTGTAAGGGCAAGGTAAGTTGCCTTTTCTTTTCTTGGGGTGGGGGTGGAGGGCTCTTGAGCAAGAACTACTGCGTAGCCCCAAAACAATACTGGCCCTGGCTGTTTTGGGAGGGCCCGCGACCTTGAAGCGTGCTAAAGGCAGCCCTTTACGAGCCAGCTCCATCCAGTCAGTTACCCTAAACCTAAAACACCACAAAGAATGACGTCACCCTTGCAGACGGAGGTCAAGCATGCTGGCGACGGAGCACGGCGCAAGGCAACGAGAGCGAGGCCAAGGGGATTTTGGGGTAGCTTGAGCCGCTGTGCTGGTTTCGGGTCCAGGGCTTAACTTCTAGGGTTGTGGGCGCTTATGGGCTGCTTTTGGTCGTTTAGGGTTGCCTCTAGGACTCTCGGGTTTTTATGGGCTTTCAGGGGCTGCTTTTGGGGTTCTAATCACGTGCTTGGGTTGCTTTTTGGGGTTCAAGGATGCTGCATCCATGCGAACTTCCCTCCCTAAAGGGGGGCGGGGGGGCCGTGCCACTCCCTGCAGAACGTTCGCGCTTTAGGGCTGAGACTGCTGTTATCATCAACTGGACACGTACTTGAAACATCGCAAACCCAGCCCTAACCTCTAAGGGCTTGCGCCAGGAGAATCGGGACTTCTCTAGTCGCGGCCTGAAGCAGCGAAACCCTAAATGCGAAGACCGGAAGAAACGGCTTCAACATATGCCCTGTACTTGGAGATTCATGGGTAAGCAGGGATAGCAATACCCTGCGTAAGGTCAGAAGTAAATATACTTACCCTACTTATATACCCATCATCCTCCAAGTCGTGAAGCACATGGAGCAACCTAATGAGTCCCTGGGCAGGCATCTTGACCCTAAACCCTACACCCTAAACCCTAATCCCTGGGCGCGAAGGCAGGCATCTTTTGCTGCAGAATCTCTGGGCCCTGTGGCGGTTTTCAAGATTCCCCCGGATGCCTTGGCCATTTTGGGCTCGCGAATGTTCAGGGCCAGGGTTTAGGGTCTAAGGTCTAGGGTTTAGGGCTAGGGTTTAGGGTTTAGGCCTAGGTTTAGGGTGTGAGCCCCAAAGCCCTCGACCGGAATCACCTCCATCTACTCAGGTGAGGAATGGATAGAGCTCCAGATGCTTCCGCTGCTGGCCCTCGCCCTCCTGAGACAAACGTGCGGGGGGTTGTTGTAACACATTGGGTTTGCTTGGAGCCACTTAGAAGAAGGAGCCCTAGGAGAGCTCCCTCAGATGTGTGTGTGTGTGTATGTGTGTTTAGGAGTTGGCATGTCTGGATTTCGTCTTGAAGGTTGTCCTGGGATCACAAGAACCTTCAACTTCAAGACTTGTGGTCCGTTGTAAGGGTCCCTGCATTCCCTTTCTGACAGCCAGAAAGCCAGAAATGAATAACATATGTGCCTACATGTTTCTGTGTGTATATATATATATACCCATACATATATATATATATATATACATGTGTGAATAAATAAATAAATTAAACAAGCAATTTTAAAAAATCAACAAATATAAAAATAAGTCTGTAAATATAAATAAATAAATAAACAAACAAATAAATAAATAAACAAATGATATATGTATATATATATATATATATAAGCGGTGAAGCAAAGATTTGCAAATTATACACTACCTTTCTGCATGTGCTTCCGTGGTGCCTGGTTAAAGTGTGCGGGATAATTTGGGTTTCGAAAGTCCTCCTGGTTCTTAGTAGGGAATGAGGCAATTAAGGCCCCATATATGATACCCTTTGAGATCCTTTGAGGTATTATTTAGGGCCCTAATTCCCTCATTCCCTGCGAAAGGCACCCAATCCTCACTGCCGACGGCCAGTTCCATCGAGCGCACGAAGAGAATTCCTGAGGCGACCCCTGCTGTGATAAACTTCAAACCCTTTAGGACGCTAGGCCTGTAGGGTTTATATAGAGGCGCCGAGAAGTAACCCTATGGAGCCTACAAGCCCTCAACAGCTTTAGGATTTGGCTGCGGGGTGTCTTGGACATCGATGAGAGGTCTCATTTTCTGTCGGCTTCCTTCGTTTAGGGGTTAGAGTTTAGGGTCACTGTCGCCCAGGCAAAGCTCGAAACCCTGCTGTCACCTTGCGCACAATCTCCCGGGCTCTCGCTCTCAGCTTCAGTGTAGGGCTTAGCGCCTAATCCCTAGGTCCCAGCTCGGTCCAAGACAAAGAGGGAAAAACACCGACTTTCAGGTCCAACAATCAAGGGGCAACAGCAGGGACCCTCATAAGCGACCTTAGGGGTTACTTGGGAGTTGTTGAGGGGCTACTTAGGTATATAGGGACTATCTAAGGTATAGGTATAGGGGTTAACTAGGGAATAAGATTGATAAGGGTGTTTCTCTAGCGGTCCCTCGACTCCTTTGCCCCTTGGGACGGCGGCTGGGGCATCGAGTTTGTACTCTAGGGGCCTGAATAACTCGAATAGGCTTTTGAGGGCTATTGTAGTATATTTATACAGGGACCATAAGGGAATGCATCCCAAACCCTAAACCCCAAACCCTAAACCCTAACCCCCAAAGTCTAACCCCCAAACCCTAAACCCTAAACCACCCTAAACCCTAACAACCCAAACGCTAAACCCTAAACGCTAAACCCTAAACCCTAAACCCTAAACCCTGAACATCTATTCCGAACCCCCAAAAGTATGCGGAGTCGAGCAGCCCACGGCGAAAGAGAGCAGGAGCTTCAGGTCTTGCCAAGCTCCCTCCAAGGCCTGCGGGGAGGGTTTAGGGCTTCTAGGGCTTAGGGTTTAGGGTTATAGGGTTTAGGGTTTAGGGTTTAGGGTTTAGGGTTCAGGGTTTAGGGTTTAGGGAAAGTTTAGGGTTTAGGGTTTTTAGGGTCCATGTCTGCTTTGAGGCTTCATGGACCTAGGATTTCCCCCGCAAGCGGCTGCTGCTGAATCGGGGGGCCTAGAGTCGAACACGCCATAAACGAGGGCATCGAACAAGAATCTTCCGCTGCATCCCTAAACCCATATAAGCCCTGAAGCCTAAACCCTCCCCGTCTTTGCGGGTGATTCTCTCAGGTCCGCTTTGAGTACCCCTGGACCGTTTAGGGTTTAGGGTTTAGTGTGACCCAAGAGTAACCTAGGAATAACCCGGATGGCTTTTTTGGTGAAGGTGTTTTGAAGGGAACGTAAGCGTAAGCCCTGAAAAAAGAATAAGGGCCCGTGCTGGGTCGTAGATAAGACTCCGAAACATGATCAGACTCCCAACCGCATTTAGGGAATCCTGCAACCTAGAAACTAGCATGGAAAACCCCCTCCAAACCTCAAACCCCCTAAACCCTAAACCCCCTAAACCAGTAAGCCCCTTAAGCCCAATCCTAGAACCAACTAAAAAAAAACAGAAAAACACATGTCCAGGAATTATTCCCTGGTTTTCTACCAGGGACAACAGCCAATTCCCTTTTTAGTGAAAATTGCTTGGTAGTTTTTTAGACTCATGTAGGAATTCCACCGGCTCCTTTCAGCAACCAAAACTTCTGAGCTCTTCGTCGGGAATCTGGGGGATGAGATGCCCGATGTTCCTCCATCAAGGGCCACTCTTCCCTATCAGCAACCAGTAAGCCCTCAACCCTAAACCTGAAATCCTAAACCTAAAGCCCTAAAACTAAAACCTAAAACCCTAAACCCTAAACCCTAAACCCCAAACCCTAAACCCCAAACCCTGAACCCTAAAACCCAAACCCTGAACCCTAAACCCCAAACCCGAAGCACCTCCTGGGAACCATCCTCCAGCGAGTCGGTGGCGAAGGCCGCAGGCAGGCACACGGCGATGGCGCCCACGAGCACAGGAATCCTTCCCCAGGGTTTAGGGTTTAGGGTTGAGGGTTGAGGGCTTAAGGTTTAGGGTTTAGGGGCTAAGGTTTACTCCCAGGTTCCGGGGTTCAGGGCCTCAGGGTTACATAAATGCCAATGTAGTGTAGGGTTTAGGTTTTCGGGTTTACTTAGGGTTGGGGGTTCCGCCACAGCGCATTGGAATGAGCTTGCCTTAAATTAGAACCACTAGACCCAGGAGTAACCTAGGAATAAAAAAGGGTGGCCTTTTTGGTTTCAAGGGGTATACGGGAACCCCCAACCCTAAAACAAGGAAATAAGGGCCTACTCTGGGTCCTAGCCCTAAACCCTAATCCCTACAAGAAGGGGAATAAGGGCCTACTCCGGGTCCTATGCCACCACTCAAATACCACGCTTCCTCATGTCCATGACTCTTTGTGATACGAACCATCCGAGGCGAGCCCCGATTATAGTTCATAAGCTTTCTAAACCCTAAACCCTAAACCCTAAACTTCCTAAACTTCCTAAACTTCCTAAACTTCTTAAACTTCCTAAACCCTAAACTTCCTAAGCCCTAAACTTCCTAAACCCGAAACCCGACACCCCCTCCCAGAGTCCTGAGGATATGCATTATGGACGTAGAACGTTGGGCTAAGGGGGGAACCCGCCCAGCAAGTGGAGGGAATGGCCTGGGATAGAACGTGTTGGGCCAGACGGCTTCGGCAGAAGAAAAAAGCTGAGCGTTTAAGGTTTAGAGTTTGAGTCAGGGTTAAGCAACAAGTTAAGGGTTGAGAAAAAGGTTTGGGGTTTAGGGTTTAGGGTTTAGGGTTTAGGGTTTAGGGTTTGGGTCTTGGGGGTTTGCGGTTTGAGGCTGGGGGTTCGGGAGTTTGAGCTTTTTGCTTGTTTGGGGGGGGGGGGGGGGTGTACCCTCAAGCTGCGGTGCGACAACCCTAGGTTTAGGGTTTAGGGTTTAGGGTTTAGGGTTTAGGGTTTAGGGGTTTAGGGTTTAGGGTCTAGGCCTTAACTGAACCCTGCAAGCTTCAGGGTCCATCTACCTGAATGGGGCATGAGAGTATATAGGATACCGGGTTTACGATTCCCAATCTCAGGGCCAGGGTACCGGGTATACGAGACCAATTTCAAGGTTTCATTTGGTCAGGGTACTGGCTATAGGATCCCCATTCTTGGGTTGATTTGGTCAGGGTACTGGGTACAAGATCCCCATTTTCGGGTTGATTGGGTCAGGGTACTGGGTACAAGATCCCCATTTTCGGGTTGATTGGGTCAGGGCACTAGGTACAAGATCCCAATTTTCGGGTTGCCTTGGTCCCTATAAGGAAGGACCCCGCAGCGCCAAGAGTTTCTTGGGCACCACGCAGCTGGACGAAGCACTCAGCAGGCATCCCCAATGTGAACGATGAAGCCGAAACATATTTTTTGCCATGCCAATCCCTCATCTTCCGGGGCTTCGGGTTTGGAGTTTGGTTGAGGGGCCGTTTCTCAAGCTTAAGACTCTCAAAACGCGACCCGTCGGCAGCGACATTTTTGATGCCCGAGCCAGGCTGGAAAATTGTCTAGTTGTCTAAGATTCCTTGGCTCAACTTTGTTGAAGCCAGCTACCTACGTGCTAGAGATCCTTCTTCTGACATCTCCACCAGCTTCTCTGAAGAAGAGGTCTGAAGGTCACAGCGGAAAATAAGAGAGGCCATACCTTGGGGACCAAATGAACCCTGAAATTGGGGTCAAATACCCTATACTACTATACAGACTATACTATGCTTCCTAGTTCATGCAATATCAACCATAAACCCTAAACCCTTTCAGGGTTCATCTGGACCCCCAAGGTAGAATCGGCTCAGCGATACCCACCCCCAAGAGAACCACATCTGCTAATTGCGGACGTGATCCTGGGGGAAAGCTCTCTTCTCGCTGTGCAGAAGAGGAATGAAAAAACCTAAGCCCTAAACCCTGAACCCTAAACCCTAAACCCTAAACCCTAAACCCTAAACCCTAAACCCTAAAACCAAAACCCTAAACCTAAAAAAGATCCAAAAAGGCCCAAGAAGGCCAGCTCTACAGTGAGACGATCGCGCGCCCAGCCGCAGGCAAGTTGGGTTCGCCGCCTTCGACCAGGTTCAGGTCGATCTGCTCGTAGAGGAAGCCCCCCACCGTGTACACGCTCAAGGCCATGCCTCGCCACAAGGAAGTGGCCCGAAACCCTAAACCCTAAACCCTAAACCCTGCAACCCTAAACCCTGTAGCCCCAAACCCTAAACCCTACAAAACCTAAACCCTGCAACCCTAAACCCTAAACCGACGCAGGCAAAGTTCAGCCCAGCGCCCCTCTGTAAGCCCGAAGACCCCTAAACCCTAAACCCTAAACCCTAAACCCTAAGCGACTTCAGGCCAAGATGCTGACGAGCAAGGCATAGGCTTGGAACGGTACCTGGAAGCAGAACAGGGTTTAGGGTTTAGGGTTTAGGGTTTAGGGTTTAGGGTTTAGGGCTTAGGGTTTAGGGTTTAGGGTTTAGGGTGGCTTAGGGCCTTCCCTGGCCAATAAAGAGAGAGACTTCCGTATAACCCGAATTAAACTCTAGACCCTAAACTCAAAACCCAAGGGGGCAGAGAAGGGTCCTTCAAAACAATGCATGCACAAGAAAGAGTAGCGTGGAGGCGCAAGCACAACTTTGCTGCCTTCTACTGTCCGAGGTGCCAGCGCCCTAGATGCTTGCTTTGGGGGCTTGTGTTAAGTTTCCGGAAACTATGGCGCGAGGCTGCGGCGTCTGCTTCAGGAAAAAGAGCTTTGGGGATCACGGAGTCAGAGTTTGGGGCCTTTTGCCGCACACCCCGGTGCCTGCACGCAGAAGTACAAGCTGTAGGCTGTCAGAGCCAGACTCTGTGCGCTCACGACGGCTTTCTCCTGAAATAGAGAAGTAGCTGGTCTAGGGCTTCTAAACCCTAAACCCTAAACCCTAAATCCTAAACCCTAAACTCTGGCTCACGAGCTGACAATGCAGCAGCAGGCCCAGAAGAGGGTTTGGAGCCATTTCGGCTCGGGATTTCAAGGCAGGAGATCACACAGCTTAACGGCGCTCATGCTCATCAGCTGTGCAAAAAGTACAGGCCATGTGAAGGAGAACGAGCAAAAGCCCAAACTTAACAGCAACCCAACACGCACTGAGCGCACTGGCCTGATTCACAGGATAGCAAGGGAAACCCCAACCCTGAACCTTTTCCCAAGTGAGACCCTAGACCCTAGACCCTAAACCCTAAACCCTAATCCCGAAAGCTCGTAGCAAAGACCAAGCCCTCTACAACCCCGCTGGGGGACTAGCCAGTCTGAGGAAAGCCCCTAAGCCCCTAAGCCCAAAACCGTAAAAAAAAAACCATAAGCAGTAAGCCCTCTGTAAGCCCTAAACCCTAAACGGTAAACCCCTTTCTCACAAACCCTCACCCCTCAACCCTCAACCCTCAACCCTCAACCCTAAACCCTAAACCCTTCACCCTAAACCTAAACCCTAAACCCTAAGCCCTTTTTCACCGACCCTAAGCCCTAAACCGTGCCAGGGCCGGCCCTCGCTATCTGGCAGCAACGTCTCCTCCAAAACTTGCATCAGGTCCTCCAGGCCAAGAACGCAAAAGCACTTCCGAGGTACGCTAGGGTTTAGGGTTTAGGGTTTAGGGTCTAGGGCCTAGGGCCTAGGGTCTAGGGTTTAGGGTTTAGGGTTTAGGGTTGAGGGTTGAGGGTTGAGGGTTTAGGGTTTAGGGTTTAGGGTTTAGCATTTAGGGTTGAGGGTTTAGGGTTTAGGAGACCGGTCCTCGCGAAGGATACCCCGCAGTGCGCTTTGAAGGACGGCCTCTCTGATCTTCACCGGGTTTCCGTAGAACATCTCCTGCGCTGTCAGGAGGGTTTATAGGGTTGAGGGCTTAGGGCGAAATAGCGGGTTTCAAGAAGGATCTCCCCACGCACCCTGGTCCGAACTTGGTCTGCGGGGTTTCAAGCCACGTGATTGCGGAAGTGCTTTTGGCGTGGGGTTCAAGGGTTTAGGGTCGACCTCGAAACCCTTGTAGGGCAACCTACAAAAACAGAAGGGTTTAGGGTTTGGGGTTAGGGCCAGGGGTTAGGGTTTATAGGGTTTAGGGGGTTTGGAGGTTTCGGGTCAAAATGGAGCAAAGGCTCTTGCACCATCGCCCGGGCAAGGACACAGGTGAGGGCCAGGCTCAAGAAGTAGCTTCGCGCGGAGGCCATGGTGAAGATTGTGATGAGATCCATCCTAGGAGAGGCGGCATGAACCCTAAAAAGGCTTTAGGGTACATATCTATCTCAATATAAGGGATTATGGTAGCATAGAGTAGATGATCTCAAGAAGGGCTTAGGTTTCATATTTCCTTCAAACAGGAATTGTAGCAGAGGGTAGATGATCCCAAGTTTTAGGGATCATTTTATCTCATATAACCCCCCTTATCATGAAGCCCAATAAGGTAGGGATATCCCTATAAACTGCTTATGCTTATGTCCTTTTTGGGTCCCTAATCATTTGGTCCCCAAGGATCACCACGGCCAGCACATGAAGGGAAAGCTTCACGGCCAAGCTGTCAAACAACCTTGGGCAGCTTTCGGGTTTCTCAGGCTTCCATAATACAACTTCTAGCACTAGGGTTTAGGGTTTAGGGTTTAGGGTTTAGGGTTTAGGGTTTAGGGTTTAGGGTTTAGGGTTCATTAACAAAATGCCAGCGCCGTTCAAAAAACGCAACAGCAAACCCTCTCTCTCTCAACAGCAAACCCTAAAAGCCCAAAGCCTGACTATGCGATCACACTGAGCCCCGCACCCTAAACCCTAAACCCTAAACCCTAAACCCTAAACCCTAAACCCTAAACCCTAAACCCTAAACCCTAAACCCTAAACCCCAACACACCCCGAACCTCCAGACCGAGACACCTGGAGGCCTGGCAGCACACCTCCGGCCGGGCCTCATGGGGCCAGCTCCTTTCTTCTGGTAAGGCCGCCATCACTTGGCCCAAGGTGTCCTTCGCATCGCCTTAACACTAAACCCTAAACCCTAAACCCTAAACCCTAAACCCTAAACCCTAAACCCTAAACCCTAAACCCTAAACCCTAAACCCTAAACCTCTACATAACTTCGCGCCGCTACCCTGGCCAGTTGAAGGAGCCAACTCACTTTTTGAAACGAAGACCGGACCTGAATGAACAACAAAAAAAGGGGAAAGACAAGACCTGAATGGACAACAATTTTATACGAGTAGGGCAAGACATTAGATAGATGGATGGATGGATAGATAGCATGGAAGGTGCACGTCATCTGGATGAGAGCGCCTGATTGAAAAGAGCCACCCCCGAATCCCGACCCTCAAACCCCTCAAACCCTACAAACCCCATAAACCCTATAAGCCTGAGAACCCTAAAAACCCTAGAATCCCTAAAAACCCTAAAAACCCTATAAACCCTATAAATCCTGTAAACCCTATAAACCCTATAAACCCTATAAACCCTCCAAACCCTCCAAACCCTATAAACCCTATAAACCCTAAAAACCCCTATAAACCCTGTAAACCCTATAAACCCTATAAACCCTCTAAACCCTCAAACCCCATAAACCCTATAAGCCCTGAGAACCCTAAAAACCCTAGAATCCCTAAAAACCCCATAAACCCGACAAACCCTACAAACCCTATAAACCCTCAAACCCTATAAACCCGAAAAACACGAAAAACCAAAAACAAAAAAAATATAAAACCTATAAACCCTATAAACCCTCAACCCTAAAACCCTATACACCCTTAAACCCGAAAAAAAACCCGAAAAACCCTAAAAACCCTATAAACTTTATAAACCCTGCAAACCCTATAAACCCGAAAAAACCCTAAAAAACCTTGAAAAAACTATGAACCCAATAAACCCTATAAACCCTGTAAACCCTATAAACCCTGTAAACCCTGTAAACCCTGTAAACCCTCAAACCCTTGGTCCTGGAAGCTGCTGTCTGCGTCCACACGCACAGCGGCCTCCACGTGACAGACAGACCCCCTCATGGCTCGGCTTTAGGGCAGAGGGTTTAGGGTTTTTAGGGTTTAGGGTTTGGGGTTCAGACTCGGACAGCAAAGGCTGTACCCCTGAGAGGTTCCCTTAAGAAACTCCGAACCCTAAACCCTAAACCCTAAAGCCTAAAGCCTAAACCCTAAACCCAAAACCCAAGGGTACAACCTTAGGGGTCCAAGGCAGGAGTTGGGTTAGACGTTGAGGGTCCTTAGCCCAAACCACCTTGGGGATGGCATGAGCCCTGACAGGGTTTAGGGTTTAGGGGGTTTAGGCTTTACGGTTTAGGGTTTAGGGTTCAGGGTTAGGGTTTAGGGTTCATATACCTTAATAGGAATTATGGTAGTCCAGGGTATATGACGCCCTATATACTGCTACTAGAATTCCTAGTAAGGTATATGAACCACAAACCCTTTTAGGGTTCATGTCATCCCCACGGGATTTGGCTGGCCCAGCCGGCCAAATTGGGTTCAACGAAGTGCTGGGCCTTGCCTCTGTCGACTTCTGCCGGCGGCAGGCGATCTGTGACAAGCCAATGCACAGCCTCAAGCCACCCCTCGGGTTTAGGGTTTTTTTCACTCCTGCACAGCTGGGGCGAATCCACATCGCAGGGCGACTACGAGGTACGACTGGTGTCCTACTATCCAACCGTCGTCCATCATCCACAAAACCACTAACCACATCACCACTCAATAATCCACAAATCAGTCCATCAAACAACAACTACACCATGGACTCAGGTCTTCAGGGTGTGCGTTTCCAGTCAGGGATTCCCTGACCTGGCTTGGCCTTTCCCTCCACTGTTTAGAAAACAAGGTCGCTTAAAAGCAGCTTAAGGGGGTTTAGGGTTTAGGGTTTAGGGTAAACCCTGTGAACCCTTCTTGAACCAGGAGCTTGGGGTCCCTAAACCCCCTAATACCTTACTAATACCCTAAACTCTAAACCTGAACATTCAACTAGAGAGTTCGGTCGAGTCCAACTCCGACCACCAACCCCAACTGCTACCTTGGGGACGACAATGAACCCCAGTAGTATAATCCCTTCCCCCTTTTATTAAAGACCTCCCCCTAATACTAAAAACACTTTCCGGAAAATCCTGCCGAAACCGACCCCGCCTTTTGAAAACCCTATTCCGAATTAGGGGGGGTTCAGGGCACCCAAAACCCGCAAGCCAACCAACATTCTAAAGCTCTCTCTCTCTCCCCAGCCTAGACCCTAAACCCTTTGGACCCCAAACATGGCATTTGGATAAAAACCTCCCCCTAATAATAAAAACACATTTCGAATTTCTATTGGGGGAGGGGGGGGGGGGGGGGACCCCCCGTTTAATATTTGGGGGAAGGGATTAGGGTAGATGATCCCAATTTTAGGGTTCCTTTGGTCCGCAAGGCATGGGCCCTAAGCCCAAAGTCTAAGCAAAGCCCAGCAGCAGGTACAAGGCCAGGGTATATGGTCCCAACTTTAGGGCTTATTGGCTAAACCCTAAACCCTAAACCCGTAAGCCCAGCAGCAGGTACAAGACCAGGCATGTTGCGTAGAAGGAGGTCAAGCCCACCACCGCCGAGGCAAAGAACTCCAGAATCCGGCCCAACGCCGCCTCTCTGGAGTGCTTTTGGTAGTTCGCGGACTAAGGGTTTATAGGATGTAGGGTTTAGCGTCTACGGTTTAAAGAGTGAAACCTAAACCCCAAAAAGTCTGCTTTTTTTTTTTTTAGTCTGCATTGCTTGGGGGCATAAGGTAAAGACTGTGACTAAAGCCTAAACCCGAAAAGTCTGAAATTGCTTTTGCTGCCGCCTGCTGTGCTTGCGGAGGCGATCCACTGCTTGGTGATTATTTGGGTTCCTGCCTTCCTGCCTTTTGCCCACCGAAGCGTCCGCATGGACGCTGTAAATCCATCGTGTGCATATGTGGACAGACAGTTCTCTGGGCTAAACCCTAAACCCTAAACCCTAAACCCTAAACCCTAAACCCTAAACCTCCTGGGTTTCTGCATCACAGGCTCAGGGCCCAGAGGGCTTTTGAACACGTGACAAGCAGACTGGCTGCACTGCAGGGTTGCCTGCAAGCTAGCAGCTGTTATAACGCATATGGCGAGGACTTTAATATGGGTTTGGGGTTTAGGGTTTAGGGTTTAGGTTCTGGGTTTACGACCGCAAACCCACGAAGCAGAAGCCACCGCACCTGCTGAGGAATGGAAGTCTCGGTCCAGGCCGAATGCATCTTCACCTGCACCTGCTCCTGAAAAACCAACAGACGCTTCGCAAATTCGAGGCTAAATCCAGAACCCCTAAACCCCAAAGCCTTGCGAACATTTCCGGTTCGGGCCTTAGGGTTAGAGGAACCCCCACCCCACCCCCTTAACTACTACTTGCTTACGAACCCCCCCCCCAAAAAAAAAAGAAAAGAAACAAACATGTTCTTCCTTCTTAAGGCAAAATCTAAAAATTGTTATAATTGTTATATAAACATTTCTTGGGGGGTGCTTAAGCAAATCGTAGTTCAACCCGGAGCTCCAAGTAGCCCGCCCCCCCCCCCGTCCGTGGTCCTGCATGGGGTTTGTGAGAAAGGTCCAGATCGATTCAGAGGCGCCAAGCTGCATCGACGAGCTCAGGTCCGGATGGCGGATTCGGTAGTCCTCGGGTTTAGGGTTTAGGGTTTAGGGTTTAGGGTTTAGGGTTTAGGGTCCAGAATAGGGCTCTTGCTTAACTTCGGGAGCAAAAGTGAACCCCTAAAATTGGGATCATATGCCCTACACCACTGTAATCTGTATTAGGGTATTAAGGGGCCGCAAACCTTTTAGGGTTCATGGTGCGCCCCAGGGTGCCCGGTAGGGTTTTGGATTAAGCTTTTCTTGTTTTGCCGTCCGCCAACCTCTTCCTCTTCCCTCCCAGCAAGCCTCCACTGAAGTCCTAAACCCTGTAGAAGCGCGATCGACACGAACTGCTGAAGGCCCATGTTTCAAGCCTAGAGCCTTGCTGCGACCCTTGAACTCTACACCCCAAGCTCAGAGCCGGAGTCTTCATGCCCTAAAACGTCTAAACGCTGCGAGCCTCCTGAGTATGCCCCTGCAAAACACAAGTCGCGCCTACACAAGAACCCTCAACAACCTAATAGCCACTTGGGTTTAGGGCCCCCTAAACCCTAAACCCTAAACCCTAAAGCCCCTGTCCTTCCACACCATCACAGCAACCAAGCACAGCAGAAAGACGCGGAGCAAGGCAATGAGAGCTGTCAGCGGACCTTGAACGGCCATGACGAGAATCGGCCTGCCGAAGATTAAAATTAGGGTTTAGGGTTTAGGGTTTAGGGTTTCCAAACCGTACACCCCAAACCCCAAACCATCAACCCTGAACCCTACACCCGAAGTGCTTTGGTCTCTTGTGGCTTAGGGCTTGTAAAAGGAATAGGAGGGCACGTAGGGTCTGGCCTTTCGGGTCTAGGGTTGAGGGGCTTAGGACTTCGGGTTTAAGGTTCCTAAACCCTAAACCCTAAACCCTAAACAGAAAAGTTCTGCTGAAGCGCCGCGTGGCTTTGCGAGGGCCAGCTTTGGGAAGCTATACATGGCAGGGCCGAGGTACGTGAAGCACACAAGAGGCAGCCTGGAAAGTTGAGACTTGTGTGCTTTGGGATGGCACCCAAACCCTAAACCCTAAACCCTAAACCCTAAACCCTAAACCCTAAACCTAGACCCTAAAGGGTCCCAGGCCTCCCATAACAGCAGGGAATAGTGGATGGTAGTTGCGGGATGTCTAGGTGCAGGTCTTCTCTGCAGTCTGCAGTAAAGTGTCTTGTGTCTTTTCAGGAGGGCTCTTTCAGGGCTCAGGGTTCAGGGTTCAGGTTTTAGGGTTTAGGGGCCCTCTGAAAAATTACTCCGAAACAGGATCCTAACTCAAGAATGGAAAACACGAAATTTGTCAAGGGCCTACCTGGTCACTTCTCTAAAATATGATGTTTTGTTGGGGTCTTTATTATAAGGCGGCCCCTCTTATTTAGGGTACCAAATAAGGGACCCTAATTGAGATGATTTTGCGACCCTAAACCCTAAACCCTACACCCTAACGACAGCCCGAGGTAACTTCGGAGCCGACTTGCCTGATTCCCAAACGCCTGCTGTTTGGGTGTTCGGACTAGATTTCATGTGGATTTCATGCCTCCGAAATTTGCAGGGTTTTGGGGAACAGGTAAACACCAACAGAATTGCTAAACTACCCTAAACCCTAAACCCTAAACCCTAAACCCTAAACCCTAAACAGGGTTTAGGGTTCACTTGCAACCGTGAAGCCAGTAGCGCCACCAGACCACCATCATCCCGCAGCCCAGGATGCCGACCAAGTTGACGACCGCCTCTTGGGAGGGATCATAAGAGTTTAGCTGGTTCAAACTAAACTCTAAACCCTAAACCCCTACCCCTAAGCTCTAAACCCTAGACCCTAAACCCTCAACCCTGAACCCTAAACCCCTCAACCCTAAAACCTAAACTTCAGGGTATCGGCTTTAGGGTTTCAGGGTCGGGTTTAGGGTTTGGGACTGTGTCCTTCCGTGCCCAACTCCATATATATATATATGTATATATATATATATATACATAGACGTATACCTCTATATACATACATACATACATACATACATACATACATACATACATACATACATAAATAAATACATAAATAAATAAATAAACATATGCATATATGCGCTTGTGTTTGTGTTTGTGTTTGCATTTGTACATGTAAATGTGTATCAACTGAATATGAGATGTATATGTAAATGTGTGCGTGTGAGGGGGTGAATTTGTTTAGTTAGACCTTCTGACCAATGTCATGTTCCCACATCATGTCGCAGTAACAAAAAATGTGGCACATGTATACATCTATACACCCTGAAACCCTTTTGCAAGCACTAATCCCTAAACTCCCAACCCTAAACCGTCAACCCTAAACCCCCGAACCCCAGAACCCCAAACCCTAAACCCCTAAACCCTAAACCCCTAAACCCCAGCCCTAAGAGCCGCCTCAAGCACCCTCAACTCCGCCTCAAACCTGAACCCTGAACCCTGAACACTAAACCCTAAACCCTAAACCCCAAACTCCGCCTCAAGCGCACGGAAGCCTAGGATCGCCATGGAGTGGATCGCCGACCTGTGCACTTTGCCGACGATCAGCTTTGCGCCCACCTTGAGTCAAGGGCTGAGGGTTTGAGGTTCGTTTGCTTTGGGGTTTAGGGTTTAGGGTTTGGGGTTTAGGGCTTGGAGTTTAGGGTTTGGCGTTTAAGGTTTGGGGTTCGTTTGGGGCTTGAGGCCTTTAGGATTGTGATTTTTGTTTGGGGGGATGATAAGGGCTTAAGGATTTAGGGGCTGGCAAGGGTGTATCAAGGGACTGAAGTGATAAGGGACCCTCGGGGCTCTTTGGGGGGTACTTCGGCGCTACTTAGGCATATATGGACTACATAAGGGCTACAAAGGGGTTATATAGGGGAATAAGATTCAGGGTCCCTTCTAGGGGTCCCTCCTTATACCCCTTACCCTTGGTTGCCCAGTAGCCATACGACAATAAAGGGTACACCTTTTTGGGCTTTTTGGGGGTTGGCTACTTTATAAGGGAACCTTGAAAAAAAGGTTACCACTGGGCCACCAAGCCACAAAGTAGCCGCGCTTCCGGTTCATGTCGACCGGCAAGTAGCTCCTTGCTTGACTTAAGGGTTTTTTGGCGGTGGCTTGGGGATGGATCTTGAGGAACGTAACATCCCAAATCCTGCAGCAACGGTGTAGGGCGGGATTTGGTGCTTGGGGGACCAAGCCTTTCCGCCGGTGCACACCAGTGCGCATCGTTCCACTTACACTTGCACTTGCACTTACACACGCACACACGCGCACAGAAAAACACACACACACACACTCACAAACACACAAACACAGAGAGACACAGAACCGGCTGAGACTTCCCACTTGCCCCCTTGGTTGTCCAGTAATCTTGGGGAACTAAAGGTTAACCTCTGGGACTCAAGGGAAAATCATACCCCAATAGACACCATAAAAGGTTAAAGGTTACCTACTCTACTACTAAGCCAACCCTAAACCCTAAACCCTAAACCCTAAACCCTAAACCCTAAACCCCAAACCCCAAACCCTAAACCCTAAGCCCCTCCCCCCCCCCCGCCCCGCCCGAAGGGCATCTTGCCTGTTTGCCTTAAGCGGCTATCTGAACCTCCCTGTGTGGGTTTCAAGCCAACAGCTAGTCATGTCTTGCGGGTCGTATCTCAAACGCCCCTGTTGGGTGAATTGGGTTAAGGGTTGATTTAGGGTTTAGGGTTTAGGGTTGGGATATCTGCAACAGAAGCAGAGTCTTGGAGTTCTTAACTCAGGCCGGGGTCGTCCTGTTTGGGCACGTTCAATGCCAAGGAAGCAGTTTCCCCAAAACCCGAACCTTTTGTTTGAGCAGGGCATGCAGAGCACTACGCCCTGGGTTGGTCCTCCTGCCACCAACTATGACCCTTTCGTATAAATTCTTTCAAGGCACGGGATTTTGCAGTCGGACCTGTAGAGTGGGAGGCCCCTGAAATACCGGGCGCCAAGCACCAGGGGGAGTGCGAGGAGAGCGCCGATGAAGACCTTACAGGATTTGTTAGGGACTTTGGGATGTAGGGGTTTAGGGGTGATGGCGAGTGGGGCTGCAAGCTCTGGAGGGTTCAAGTCACATAACAATGGCCCAGTTTTGGGTTTAGGTTCTGGGTTGTCCAAATGACAAGGCAAGAGGCGGAGGCGTACGTCTTGTAGTTGAGAAGCGTCCCCGTCACTAGAGAGGCAGTCGTCATGTGGGACCTCCACCACTTCTGCGTCGCCTCGTCCTTGATCCCGATCCAAAAAGGTGCGCCTGCACGGACGAAAGTCGCAACTCCCCGTGCCCAATTGGGACGCCTGGACCTGTTCAGCCCATCGGTAACCCCAACAACCCTCTACAACCCTGTATCCCAAACTCCTCAACATGCCCCATGTGGGTAGCTCTCGAAATTTAGGGCCCTTTTGTCCTTCTTTTAAGGGTGCCGTACTATGTATGTGTATATATATACACATATATATATATATTTATTTATTTATATGTATATATATATATACATATACATATATACATATATACAGGACCCACAGAGAAACCCTGTGCCGCGGAACCTCCCTTGGAGTCGTCCAACATCCAGGGGTCGAACCAAGCGCCATGGCGGACCAGTCGCTGCAGTATCTGAAGGTTGCCAGACTCGGCTGCCCGCATCCTGGTAGTGCAGAGGGTTTAGGGTTTAGGGTTAGGCTTTAGGCTTTAGGCTTTAGGCTTTAGGCTTTAGGCTTTAGGCTTTAGGCTTTAGGCTTGAGGCTTTAGGCTTTAGGGTTTAGGGTTTAGGGTTTAGGATTTAGGGTTTAGGGTTTAGGGTTTAGCTTTAGGCTTTAGGCTTTAGGCTTTAGGCTTTAGGCTTTAGGCTTTAGGCTTTAGGCTTTAGGCTTTAGGGTTTCTAGGGTTTAGGGTTTAGGGTTTCGGCTTTCGGGTTCAGGGTATGCTCTTTGACCTGTGAATGTTTTTCTGGGGGGTTCCTGAAGTTTTAGGGCGGTGCTGGGAGAGGGCCCATCCCTGTTGCGAACCTCTTGCACGCCTGCATCTAGCCTAGGAATGACGAGGGTCCCTTTTCGGCTTAAAGGGGGCTTAGAAGACCCAACCCAAAAAGAGGAAGTAAGGGCATACCACAACCGATATGTCTGAGGACAGCAAATCCAAGCATCAACGCTGTGTGCCCCCACCAGTCTGTCGCCTCGACATTGGCGCCATTGGCCTGCAGTCACTCTCGTGGACCAAAGGGTCGGGGTGGCTTGGGGTCAAGAGCTTTTCCCTTGGACCCCGGGAATGTGGGCGCCAGGCTTGGAGTACATTTAGGGGACGCTTGAGGGCTACACGCTTCTGATGGTGAGTTTGGACCCCTTGAGTCTACGCAACTTGGAGGTGACCCGCGCACCTCCACAAAAGGGATGCAGGGACCCTAGAGACCCCGCTTAGAACCCACGAAAGCGGTTTTACCAGAGGAAACCCTCTGTAGCGACCCAAATCAACCCGATTTCGCCACCCGAAGCCCAAAAAACAATCAAAAATCTCCCGCGGCAGGGTTTCGACCCTCTCTCTCTCTCTCTCTCTCTCGCTCTCTCTCTCTCTCTCTCTCTCACGGGCACTCGAAGCCTAACCCTAAACCCCAAAACCGAGTTTCGAGACGAGAGAGGGTTCTTTAACGTTAAAAAACCCTAAATGCTTCCAAGTGTCTAAAAGTAGAGAGACGACATGCAACTCACCCGTCTCGGCGGCGTAAATCAGTGGCGTCTTATCCCAGGCATCTCCATCATTGGGGTCGGCACCTCAGTGGGAGCGGTCTGAGGGCTGGGTTTAGGGTTTAGGGTTTCGCCACCCGCACTGCACGCACATCCACGCGCCCGCATCCGCAGGGTTTAGGGTTTAGGGTATAGGGGTTTAGGGGTATAGGGTATAGGGTTTAGGGTTCTTGTGTGTCAGAATACTTGCCCGTCAGACTTCAGAGGCCTGGATGTAAAAAGGTTTGAGAACGCGGGGCTTAAGAACCCCACGCCTACCTCTGTGCAGGCTGTAAGCGGCAAGAATGGGGCAGGAAGTGGGTTAGGTAGAGGTAGCTGCAGGTTTTGGGGGCGTTTGAGGCCGATGTGGCAAGGTTTGGAGTTTATGTTCAGGGTTTAAGAGTCAATGTTCCGCCCATCTTCTTCCTCAAACCTGACGCCCTAAACCCTAACAACATAAACCCTAAAACCCCAACTCCGAAATCACACGGAGCCCCAAACCCTTACAGCCGCACATCCTTGGGCTTTCCTTGGGGACGACATGAACCCTAAAAGGGTCTATGGTTCATGTACCTGAATAGGGCTTGTAGTAGTATAGGATCTATGACCCCAATTTTAGGGTTCACGTGGTCCCCAAGGTTTCTAAGGCCCCCGCCCTCGTGGATCAACCTCTGCGCCTTAAGGACATCGCCGGCCGCTGCAGCACACCAGAGTTTCAAATTGTCCTGGAAAGGGCTTTACGCGGGTTTAGGGTTTAGGGTTTAGGGTTTAGGGTTTAGGGTAGGAGCTGTATATAGGGTTTAGGGTTTATATGGGTTTAGGGTACCAGGGTTTCTCAAGTTGTCCTGAAAAGGGCTTTCCGGAGGTTTAGGGTGGAGATAGGTGTAGGAGTATGCAGGGTTTACATGGGGTTTATAGGTTTTGGCGTTTCACTGGCATTTTACAAGGCCTGCACCGGTTACGTTATGAGTTTAGGGTTTAGGGTTTGGGGTGTAACGGCCCGTTGTACAACCTCACACAAGATTCACGACGATTCAAGATTTGAGCTTTCACGTATAGGTATCCCCAGACCCTACGTTGGGGTGTAGAGGTGACCCACTGGTGAAAGCAGTCCTGACGGCGGTTCTCACACCAATGCCCGAAGCCCGCCGGTAGGCTGATGAAGACGAGGGCAAGGCGTGAAAACATGTTTCTGCGCGAAACACCCTAAAAAACTACTTCACTACAAGTTCCTCTTGCCCTGTAACCCTAAACCCTAAACCCTAAACCCTAAACCCTAAACCCTAAACCCTACGTAACCCTAAACCCTAAACCCTAAGGCTGGGCAAAGGCTCGGGCACTTCAGTTCAGATTCATGGGCTCCTGAACCCTGAGCCTAGGTTAGAGTTTAGGTTAGGGTTTCGGGTTTCGGGTTTATAGGGTTTAGGGTATATAGGGTTTAGGGTTTAGGGTTTAGGGTTTAGGGTTTAGGGTTTAGGGTTTAGGGTTTAGGGTTTCGGGCTTCGGGTTTTAGGCTTGGGCTGTCGATATTTGGAGCCTAGCCTGCTAGACTTTCGCACTCGCAGCAGCGAGCCGCCATAGAGCAACCGGCGTGCCGCCCGAAAAAACTGGCATCTGCCCACAATTCGCATGTATGGGTTTAAGGTTTAGGGTTTAGGGTTTAGGGTTTAGGGTTTAGGGTTTAGGGTTTAGGGTTTAGGGTTTAGGGTCAAGCTCTGTATGCCAGGCAAGCCCACAAGATCCATTCAATGGCTCCGCGCCCTCACCAGCAGCTATAGCCTCTAGGGACCTCACTGGGATTCTTACAGTAGAAATATGTAGGGGCCATAAGGGAATACTATTCTGAACTATTCCGCCCCCTACATTATACACACTGTCTGCAGAAACCGCCTGCTGCAGTCAGGAAGGTCAGCAACACGCGACTCAGCTACATCACCTTGCACCTGATGGCTCACAAACAATGACGCCACCGCCGCTATTCATCTTCACCGCCCAATCCCCATCAACCTGGACCATGATAATATACGCGCCTTAATAGTTTTAACAGGATTTTTGGGGCTTGTTATATAGGATAGTTGTAGGAACCATAAGGGAATACTTTGGTAGATATTCCGTCCCCTATAGTACACTGGGGGGGGTGAGGCCTTCAGTTGCTACAAACCGAAAAACCCCACAAGACGAACTCCTTGGGGACCAAAAGAACCCACAAGGGTTTAGGCCATGGTGGTATAAGGTATAAGGTATAAGATCCAAATTCAAGGTTCATCTGGTCCTCAAGGCCGACAAGAACGGTAGCTGGCTACTTTTCCTCCCGCCAGGAAGCAATCAATGAGGTGCAGGCCTGGACCACCGGTCAGCATTCCCCTCCCAGGGCCTTGGGCCCGGATTCTGTCAAGGAGGGCACGACGGAAGAAAAAGGACCAAGTGTCCCACGACAGTACCGAGTGTAAAAACCGGGTGGTCATTCAAGGGCTAACGAAGACTCGACTGTGTGGGCAAGTGTGTGCTTTGCACAGAGTACATTAGACTCTGGGACTTGCTGTGGCCTTAGAATGAAGAGGCAGCCGGTTTTTGTCGTGGGACAGAAGGCCGTTGCTGCCCCGGACTGGCACGGGGAAGGCGTTATCTGCTGGCTGCACGCAGCCAAACCAAGGCGGTGCTCGGAATAAGTCTCCCAGAGCACTTTGCCTGGTCAATTTGGCCCGTTCTTTGAGGCTCCAAATAGCCCAAAGGAGGTATGATTTATCGACTCTGGACCCCAATGTAGGTATGATTTGTATACTTGGACCCCTGGCCCCTGGGGCTTGGGCCCTAGAAAACCTTTTATGCTCAGTCAGGCACATGTTCCGCAGGACTTGGCGCAAAGCTTGCCTTGCGAGCTGGCCCCCCAGGCCCAAAAAGACATGGGGTTTAATTTGGGGTTTGGGGTTTAGGGTTTAGGGTTTAGGGTCCGCGGACTTTCTAAGCTACGAGTACGAATGCCTACAAGACTCAAGCCTTTATCCACTCGATGTTCGCCTAGACCTCATGCGCATTTGCGGAGCAACATCCTGCGTCTGAAAATCGACTAGTCTACTTACCCTAGAAATGCGACTGCAGGGTCGTGGGGGCTGAAGAGTTGATTTCGGGGTTTCGGCTCACGCTCGCACAAGGCAGGCAAGGATTTAGGGTTGAGGGCTTTTGCTGCATGGGTTTACCCTCTTTACCTACAGTATTATGGGTTGTACCTACCAATCAAGGGTAATTCATTACTGTAGGTTAATAGAGTCCCAGGTCTATACTGCCCTTAGAACCTTAATAATTACTAGTATGATTAGTATCCTCTTGGGTTTTATATAAACAAAAAGAGAAGATATTTCCCAAGGGGGATATAGTAGAGTCTCAGGTAGGGCTTAGGGTGTAGGACTGCTTGAAGTCGCTGTAGGGGCCTTCTGAGCTGCTTCTGTGTACCCCAGCGCACACTCTCCCCCCTGGGCTGGACCTCGGGCCTTGTATGGCTTGATGGGCTAGGGTTTAGGGTTTAGGGTTTGGGGTTTGGGGTTTAGGGTTTTAGGGTTTAGGGTTTAGGGTTTAGGGTTTAGGGTTTAGGGTTTAGGGTTTAGGGTTTAGGGTTTAGGGTTTAGTATTTAAAGTTCAGGGTTTAGGGTTTCTAGTGTTTCTAGGGTCCAGGGTCTAGGGCTTAGGGCTACGCAGCGCGATTGTAAGGAATGGGTAGGACTGAACGATATGATGAAGTATATCCAATTTGAGCCCAGGCCCCGAATCTCCAAGCCCAACGTTCCGAAAACCAGCCCTCGTTTTTGCTTCAGGTCTCCTGAATTAGCCTGCCTGACACGAGCCCTAAACCCTTGTTGCTTCCGGATTCCGAACCCTGACCCATTTTACCACTGAACCCGCAAAGCCCGAAAACCCCCCAAAGGCCCTTAGCAGCAAATTCACAGCAAGCGGCTCACTGGTGAATTCATGAGGATCAGCAGCGGACACCACCCGCGTTCCTTCAAGTGCCCGGTGCGCCGGGTGAACTAACCCTAAACCCTATAAGCCCTAAACCCGGTGCGCCCTACCGTCTCGCCCCCTTCGACTTGTTTAGGTAGCTTATAGACTTTAGGGTTAAGATTTCCTTTCTTTCCCACCCTAGCCACCACTGCGGTGTCAGAGCGGTTTAGGGTTTAGGGCTACCCCAAGTTCCCTCAAAACCGGACTCACTCGCCGACGCATCTCAGCACCCTGTGCCGAGAGCTTCTGAGAATGTCGAGGTGCGAGACACTTCAGTGTCTACACCGTCTTAAAGACCACAGGCAGCCCGCCTGCACATATGAGCAGTTGTGAAGGCGCATTGATGGCCTCGGCTGAAAGTCTTGGTGGCTACGAGACGGTCCTATTTGAGTTAGGATGGAGATCGTTGGGCTCATATCAAAACCATATGAGGTGGGCTGCTAGCCTTAGAACCTAGATGCCCGAGCTTGCAGCAACATAGGGCCGGGGGTCCAGGTTAGGGATTTGCAAGTGCAGGTTTAGTGGATGTTCTGCCAGGTTGGCACTTAGTACTGAACGCCCTCTTGAGCTATCTTGTGGGATAGGTGCTTAATAAAGCCCTGTGAAGGAAAAAAACACAAATAAGCACATCCAAAGGTCCTCCCTACCGGACAACTCCGACACCCCCCAAACGCATGGAGCCCAAACTGACCCAGAGGGTCCATCCGTAGTACTATCATAGAATTAGGTACCCCAAAACCCATATTGAAAGAGGGTTTTTGGGTACCCAATGCATTAGAGAGGGTTTTTGGGTACCCAATGCCATAATACCTTGGGGACCACATGAACCCTAAAATGGGGTCATAGATCCTATACTACTATAAGTCCTATTGAGGTATATGAACCATAAACCCTTTTGGGGTTCATTTCGTCCCCAAGGTAGTACTACAAATGGACCCTCTGGGTGATGGCCCCAAGTGCGGGATGGCCATGTCCGCGCAGGCAGGTGCGAGGCTGCTCTGGTTGGCCGACGTCTCCTGCAGCTCACGTCAGTTGTATAAACCAAACCCTAAACGCTAAACGCTAAACGCTAAACGCTAAACCCTAAACCCTAAACCCTAAACCCTAAACCCTAAACCCTAAACCCTAAACCCTAAACCCTAAACCCTAAACCCTAAACCCTAACTAAACGGCGCATCCCAAGAACCGCCCAAGTCTCATTGGTGGTATTGCAGAGGCCGCAGGTTCCTTGCTAGCGTGTTGGGCGCAGAGATCCAAACTCTAAACCTTGTATAGGGTTTAGGGTTTAGGGTTAGGGTTTAGGGTTTAGGGTTTAGGGTTTAGGGTTTAGGGTTTAGGGTTTAGGGTTTAGGGTTTAGGGTTTAGGGTTTAGGGTTTAGGGTTTAGGGTTTAGGATTTAGGGTTTTACAGGGTTTCGGGTCTGGGGCCAGAGCTCTAAATGCTAGCCTTTGGCGAAAAGTTACGGGGCTTTTGGGGATTCACAAGGCTTTGCAGGTTTAGACGACTTGGGCGTCCTTTCTACGGTTTAGGGTGATAAGTACCCTTGATCATGCTACAGCTAGTGTAGCCATACTTAAAACCCCACTTCTAACCGTGCATGAACCCCCAAACACAGCTCGCAAACCTAAACGTCCCAGTTAGGGTTTAGGTTTTAGAGTGTGCGGCCGAGATTCCAGCACAGTACGTCGCAGCATCATCGGGTACATTGCAGATTCCCGCCACTTTGGCTTCAGCGCAGCTGGCAACAGGCCCATTGGCTGGAAACTCCTCAGAAGAGGTTAGGGTTCAGAGTTTTAGGGTTTCGGGTTACTTGGAGGTTCATGGCTAGCTATAAGCGACGTGTACATTATGTGCCTATACTTATAACCTGATCTTCATAACCCTACTAATCATGAACCTCCACATGATTTGATGTGGGCGTGCTAAGATTGTATGCAAGAGCATTTTCTTCGAAGAGTTGAGGGTTTATCAGGCTTGGGGCCTGGGTCTTTTGCTTCGCTCCTGCAGGTTTAGAGTTTAGGGCTTGACCTTGACCATTGGGTCAGGCCGCCAGACTGTCATAGCAAAGTTGCTATTATGTCTTGAAAGGGAGGCCTGCCCAAATAATAAAACCTGTACTCTAAACCCTAAGCCCTAAACCCATATTGAAACTTCTTCGACAGCTCCTGGGTTTCCGATCACAATCTAAGTGA